CAGTTATATTGAGCTGTAACAGCTCGGTAAAAAATGAGAAGATGTGGAGACAGCAGGTAAAAACAGAGGAAGAAGAGAAGTCGGTGGATTTTGTCAGAGCTAAAGATGAGGAAGATGAAAACTACACGGAGATACGAATCGACTCTGTTTACAGTCTGCTGCAGACATCAGGTTTGTGTTTTCATTCTTTCTGTTGAATGTGATGATGTTTAGAGTTTAGCAGCAGCTTAGGCATTGATCAACGTGTAACTGCGGACACACATTTGCGCTTCAGGGCTCCTGACAAAAAAAAAATGCGTGTTTAAAGCTTATTTACGGTTCCATCTACAGACGAGAGTTTTAACTTCACGGTGCGTTCAATGGATGTGGATAAATTTTTAATCCTACTACACCAATATTAAATCTGACAGCGGATTCCAAAAGAACAAAATAACACCAAAATCCTGTGATTATCTGAAGTATGAGGGAAGTTATTGATGTTTGTTCAGGTGAAATCAGCTCATGTTTTCTTGCTGCAGTTCACAGCAGAACCAATGGGGCCTTTGTGACCATTTCACCTTGTTGTTTTCTAATTTTGCTCATAACTTACTCAGTGTTTAAGGTATCGCCATGAAATTTTAGGAAAAGATTCCCATTCTGGTTATTGTAGGAAGCATCTTGGATCCTAAAAAACTAATAAAACTTAATAATAGCCAATTCTAAAGTAGCAGAAAAGGTATAAAATAATATTACAAGGCAAACTGTAGCATCAAATCAACTTAATGTGTCTTAGAAAGTAATGAATTTAAAACAATTTAAAAACCATGTGGACATGTTGTAAACAAAGCTCCTCAACCAATGACAGCGTGTTAAATGTGTCTAATGACGAAGACGAGCGTCAAAACACTTTGCAACAAGCCCTGTTCCGGATTTTAAAAACATACTTCGACGTTTCAAATCATTATCAACTTTGGAAAAAGGGCAGATAAAATAATGTTCTTCTTGGCAGCTTATCTCTTTAAGGGGTCACTAGAAAAACTCAGGTGATTTACTTTGAGCCGCTTTTCAAAAAATTGTCTCTTCAAAATGCATCAACAAAAATTAAAAACTCGAAGACGAGGCTGTAGCTAACTACCTGACGTCAGCGCGGTTTGTTGAAACTCGTAGAAATAACGAAGCACGGGGCTCTAGGCTAACTTTTTCACTGGTTGCACTGCAACTGAAAGCTGAAGAAAAAAGGGGAGCTGAACTCAGGTCCGTCCTCCCCTTTTATACGGACCAAGGTGGGGCCCACATGACGTGGG